CTAACTGTTTGGTGTATACTTTAACATTCATGAGTCTCAAGTTCCATTTCTATAAAACAGTATGTTGGAAGGGATTTAGCCCTTCTTTTGCAACTTTCAGTGTGACTGGTCATGTCTATGCCTTCCGATTTAAGGAAGGTCTATTGTAATAATCTGATATATAAATGTTTAATATTATAAGATGTTACTAATAAATGCAGTATATCTCTTTTGTAGATAAGATGCTGGAAAATGTTTATAGTAATTATTTATAAGACCTATTGAAGGGAACAATTATACCTATATGTTACCATCTTGGACAATGTGAAAAACTTATATTGCTTTCTAAATTATTTGCATTAAAATACAGGTAAATAGTACACAAATGTTAAGTAATAAAACAGATTGTTCATTTTTTGTCTTTCTTCATAAACAATACAGATTGGGACTATACGAGGCAATGCCAAATTTCACGGATGTGACAGAATTTATTCTTCTGGGACTGACCAATCGCCAAGAGCTACAGGTTCTCTTTTTTGTGGTGTTCCTGGTACTTTACATGATCACTCTGATAGGGAACATTGGTATGATTATTTTGATCAGTATCAGTCCCCAGCTTCAGAGCCCCATGTACTTTTTCTTGAGTCATTTGTCTTTTGTGGACATATGGTTCTCTTCCAATGTCACTCCCAAAATGTTAGAGAACTTACTATCAGCAACAAAAACCATTTCTTATGTGGGGTGTTTGGTACAGTGTTACTTTTTCATTGCCCTTGTCCATGTGGAAGTCTATATATTGGCAGTGATGGCCTTTGACCGGTACATGGCCATCTGCAACCCTTTGCTTTATGGAAGCAAAATGTCCAGGACTGTCTGTGTTCGGCTTATCTCAGTGCCTTATGTCTATGGGTTCTCTGTTAGTCTAATATGCACATTGTGGACATATGGCTTGTACTTCTGTGGAAATTTTGAAATTAACCACTTTTATTGTGCAGACCCCCCTCTCATCAAGATTGCCTGTGGAGGAATCCACATCAAAGAATACACAATGATTGTCATTGCTGGGATTAACTTCACATATTCGCTCTCGGTTGTCCTGGTTTCCTACACCCTCATTGTGGTAGCTGTGCTCCGCATGCGCTCAGTTGATGGGAGAAGGAAGGCCTTTTCCACTTGTGGATCCCACTTGACAGCTGTTACCATGTTTTATGGGACCCTGATATTCATGTATCTCAGACGGCCCACTGAAGAATCTGTGGAACAGGGGAAAATGGTGGCTGTGTTTTATACCACAGTGATTCCCATGCTAAATCCTATGATCTACAGCCTGAGAAACAAGGATGTGAAAGAAGCAGTCAATAAAGCAATTGTGAAGGTAAACTTGGGGCAACGAAGCTGCAATCAAAACTGTTGTTGTTGTGCGTTGATACTGAAGGACTTTCTAAAGGCATCTCTTACACATATATAATAAAAGAGTCATTATAGTTGTTATGTTGGCATGTGTCTTATTCTGTATGTATTCACTACCATAAAAAGTTAAATAAAAAAAGTCAGTGCAGTACAGTGAATGAATAGACTCTAAAATATCAGCATGCTTTATACCCTACATATGTAAGACTTCATTTAAACTGACATAATGTCATTCATGGTGTATGTAAAATTGTGTTAAACATAGTAATTGGAGCAACTTATAGAAAGTTCTGGATAAATAAATATTAATTTGAAGGTGGCCTTGTTGTAGTTGAGTATTATTTCTTAGTGTATATTTTCTATATCCTTGTTCCTTGACCTGAATTTGATGTGAAATACAATTTCTGAAAAAAATTATAAAAATTATTGCTTTCCCATGACTACAGAATTTTGATAGATCCCAATTTATGTAAGAAGTATTCTAAAAGTTTATACCTAAATGGATTTTTGAAACTGAAATTGTATTCAGCAACTTCAACTAGTACCTTAATACA